ACATGCAGTTTGGCAATCGGGCCCTCGTGCTATAATTTATAAAATGCCTGGGCAACGTCTAAGAATGCAGCTGAGCATATCCCTTTTTCTCTAATGCGCTACCGATGACATTTGTGGTTATATGGACTTGGTCAGCGATTGAGTGGCTCCTTCTGGACCCAAACTGTGTTCAGAAAAGCTGGGTTATAAATTATTTGAATTCCTCAAGACGTTCCCCAAGACGTTCAACGAAATTTTGAATCGAGGTAAAGATTGAATTAAGATATTTTTGTAATGATTTAATTCGTTGTTGTTTTTGAACCATCATTTAACAAACGCATTGTGACTGTTAATCAAGGTGTATTAACTTTTGTAATAAAAACATTATATGTACGTAGGCATTTTTTATTGTAATTAAGAACCTATAATATATGGAGTTCTGTATCAGGTTTTGTGGATTTTGTAGATTTCTAAAGATAGATTGCAACTCTAGAGCATTTTCTCTCAAGAGCCACAGACAACATAACCAGCTGGGCCCCCTATACCTCCACTTACTTATATTATATCGGTCCCATTTAAATATCTTGGCGGCCGGAGCAGAACGGTCATATAAAATGTGCATGGTGGTTTCTTCATTATCCTGACAAAATCAACACAAAAGCAGTCAGATTTGCTGTTTGCAGATGATATTTCAATGTCCATTGAAAAATATTGTACTAGCATCAATCTGCAGAATCTAAAAAAAGAAAAGAAATTTGTTTAAATTTCAAAATAATTTTAAAATATACATAAAAAAATATATTTTATTTTTATTTTATATTAGCAAAATATTTTTTTTTATCTTATAGGTGAATTTTACCAACTAGTTAAAGTTTTCTAATAATAAAAAACAAAAAAATACCAAAAAAAAAGGATTAAGCTTAAATTTGTTTTTTTTTAATTCTTTAAAATAATAACAAAATTTTCTGCAACACTCACCAAATTCATGAAGTAAAAATTATAACCAGAAACTGCGTTTTTGCTTTGGTATCATATTTATGTCTTTGAAAATAATGTATTGATTACTTTTTATGTCATGTGGTATGTATAAATTTTGTGTATTGAAGTGATTTTATATTCCTGGTTTTTAGAAACTAAATTGGAGATTATGGGTATAATCGGAAAGTAATCGATGCAGCATCGATGTGTAATCATGCAAAAATCACGTACGAAAATGCATCAATACCGTAATACTTTAAAGTTTGGTGTGCAAAAATGTGGAAAATACGCATCGTATGCGCACCATATTAAATCGGCTATGCATCAATTTTTGTTGCGATTTTGTATTGATGCGAAATTTTTTGAGTGGAAGCTGAGAAGCAAATAATTTATTATTTTAATTCAATAACTAACAAAGTTTATTATTTCGTTATGCACAGTATTAATATTTTTAAATGTTCCATTATATTAAAATCTCCAAAACTTAATTGCAATTAAAAAAAATCTGATGTGGTCAGCACATAACCGACCGCAATGTCTCAATGCACAGCACTTTTTCGAACAAAATCCTGCTGTCAGTTGGAAAACATATTATTAAATGCTGATAATGTTCAATTGTCTTTGCTTAAACCTGTGGACATTCTTCCTCAAACTTCCTCAAAAAATTATAATGCAGTATCATTTGACTATAAAGAAGAATTCAGCTCTTCAGAGATAAATGATTTTAAATGGATAGTCTTGTCAGAAAACTATGATAGAATTAGTCCTGCAATGCTCAAAATTCCATATTTCGTTATTAAAATGCATGTGAAAAGAATTAGTGATAAAGAAAATATTACTCTTTTTAAAGAACGTATTGCTAAGAAGTACTTTAACTGCGATTATCAAACTTTGTGTAATAAAGAAATTAAGCAAATGATATTAAATTACTTATGTTGTTCTTTCTACCCAATGTGTAACTGCATGTTTAAAAAATAGTAGCTGATTTGTTATACAAGATAGATATAAGAATTGATATAAATATAAAATAAAATTTGTCTTAAACCCCACATTTACTATTTACTATTTATGTATAAATTGTATAAAGATACAGCTATGCAACACTAGTGAATTTCTCACTACTGCATAGTTTATATTTTTGTTTTCTATTTTATTTTTAATTTTCATTCAGATTTTAATATATTTTTACCGACCGTATTGTGTAAACAATAGGTAGGTTATGTAATGGCAACAAATTTTGCATATCGAGTTTTCGGTGGGAACGTACTTCTCCATAGTAGGGAAGTGTAAATAAACTATTTTTAGCAACCTGTCGGTCTGTCGGTCTGTGTGTGCACGCGTGTATCTCAAGTTCGGCTGAACCGATTTTGATGAAATTTTATATGTAAGTTTGTTTCCACCATGGCACGGATCGATCAACTTTTGGTATATATCAGGCCTCGGGAACTGAACTTTTTAGCGGGCCTGTTTTACATTTTTGAACATTTTGAAGAAAATATTCAACCGATTTACTTGAAATTTTATATAAAAGCACAGCTCGACCGTCCGCAAAAATTCGTATGTTTTGGAAGAAATCAGGCATCGGCAACTAGACGTTTACTACGGGCCAAATATACATTTTTGTGTATATAAAGAGAAATAATCAACCGATTTCATTGAAATTTAATATATGAACTCCTCGTATTAAAACAATGAACATATAAATTTTTTGGAAAGATCAGGGCTCGAAAACGGATTTGCGGGCCGATTTTACATTTTTCACCATTTTGAAGAAAGTATTCAACCGATTTACTTGAAAATTCATATATAAGTTTTGCTCGATCATACGCAAAAATTCCTAACTTTTGGAAGAAATCAGGCATCAGCAACTGGGCGTTTACTACGGGCCAAAAATACATTTTTGTGTATATAAAGAGAAATAATCAACCGATTTCATTGAAATTTAATATATGAATTCCCCGTATTAAAACAATGAACATGTAAATTTTTTGGAAAGATCAGGCATCGGCAACTAGACATTTACTACGGGCCAAACATACACTTTTGTGTATATAAAGAGAAATAATCAACCGATTTCATTGAAATTTAATATATGAATTCCTCATATTAAAGCAATGAACATATAACTTTTTTGGAAAGATCAGGGCTCGAGAACTGATTTGCGGGCCGATTTTACATTTTTCACCATATCCACAGAACGAATTGATGGAATTTCTTGAAATTTGATATTTGAGTTCTGGTTGTTACCGAAACTAACTGACGAGCATTTCAGGGAATTCGGGTAGCACAAAGCGAAACTACTAAGAGCCAAATTTACATTTTTCTAAGTATGTTAACTATAAGCTTACTAATGTCCTAAAAATTGGAAAGAAGTATTTAACAGACATTTTTATAATATTCTGTAACACTTCAAAATGATGAAAAATGTAAAATCGACCCGCAAATCGGTTTTCCAGCCCTGATCTTTCCAAAAATTTATATGTTCATTGCTTTAATAAGAGGAATTCAAATATTAAATTTCAATGAAATCGGTTGATTATTTCTCTTTATATACACAAAAATGTATATTTGGCCCGTAGTAAACGTCTAGTTGCCGATGCCTGATCTTTCCAAAAAATTTATATGTTCATTATTTTAATATGAGGGATTCAAATATTAAATTTCAATGAAATCAGTTGATTATTTCTCTTTATATACACAAAAATGTATATTTGGCCCGTAGTAAACGTCCAGTTGCTGATGCCTGATTTGTTCTAAAAGCTAGGAATTTTTACGTACGGTCGAGCAAAGCTCATATATGAAATTTCAAGTAAATCGGTTGAATATTTTCTTTAAAATGGTGAAAAATGTAAAATCGGCCTGCAAATCAGTTTTCGAGCCCTGATCTTCCCAAAAAACTTATATGTTCATTGTTTTGATACGAGGAATCCATATATTAAATTTCAATGAAATCGGTTGATTATTTCTCTTTATATACACAAAAATGTATATTTGGCCCATAGTAAACGTCTAGTTGCCGATGCCTGATTTCTTCCAAAACATAGGAATTTTCGCGGACGGTGGAGCTGAGCTTATATATAAAATTTCAAGTAAATCGGTTGAATATTTTCTTCAAAATGTTCAAAAATGTAAAACAGATCCGCTAAAAAGTGCAAGTTCCCGAGGCCTGATATTAACTAAAAGTTGATCAATCCGTGCCATGGTGGAAATAAACTTACGTATAAAATTTCATCAAAATCGGTTCAGCCGAACTTGAGATACACGCGTACACACACAGACCGACAGACCGACAGGTTGCTAAAAATAGTTTACTTACACATCCCTACTGTGGAGAAGTACGTTCCCACCGAAAACTCGATATGCAAAATTTGTAGCCAACACATAACCTACCTATTGTTTACACAATACGGTCGGTAAAAATTTTAATAGATTTTCAATTGTTAATTTTTAACTTTTATACAAAACCTTTTCAAAATAAACGCCAAAAAACATATGATTTAGATTATTTAAAATTAATTCTACATTACTGAATAAGAGACATTTGTCGGCTTTGTTGAAGCAGAAAATAATTTGGATCAAGTTAACAAATTTAAAAAACAATTACATTGTTTTTTAACTAAATTTTCAAAGTTATCTATATTGTTATATATATCTAAAGGTTCCTGCTTTTCCTTCCTGAAGATTTGATTTTCATAAAAGAGGTATACATTATTTACGTGAATAAATTATAGATCTAAAATTTATTAAAAGAAATTATTTGATAAAACAGTTATTTTTTGTTTATTTGTTCACATACATGTATATGAGTAATTGAACGAATTTGGAATCGATTTCAAATTTACTCATTTCATGGCCATCAATTTTTTAGTTTTTAGTGAAAAGGTGAGAGCAAGTTTTGCAAATAGGGGAAAATGGAAAATTCAAATAAAACATAGATATTGTGAAACAAATTTCCGATTTATGAATTTTATTTTTTTATGATTTATTCTTAAATTTGTTTTTGTTTTTCCTTCAATAATTTGTTTTCCTTTTCTTCTTTTCAGCAATTTTTATTCATTTTTCATTTTTGGCGGCATTTTTTTGGTTAAACGTGATGTGCTTAAATATTTGGTGGACATTTAGGTAAGTAATTTTAAATAAATTGCATTTAGTTAGTAACAAATTAAATATATGTACCATACATAATTTGTGTGTTGCGAATTGTATCAATTAATTTTACGGTGCCGTTCACATAATACAACAAAATGTAAGACTAAATCTAGGACAAAATATAGAAACCTTGCCAGAAACTTACATCTTGAACGATTTAGAAGTTTCGTAAACATGTACACGGGCGGGCGGACGAAAGGACGGACATAGGAAAACTAATAAGTACTTTTTTCAAAAATTTTTAGCTGTTTTTATTATTAGATTTTTGTTAAAAGTCTAAAAAGTTTGTTCGTTAGAAGAAAACATTTTTCCCTCTTCACCCCTTAAGTTAATGCCTTTCAAAACTTCGAGTTTTTATGAAATTCGAATTTTCGGCAACTTATATTTCCGAAACTACAAAATTTTTCAAATTTCTATAAGTGCAGAAATCTAACGGCAAATTCCATGCCGTCAAAAATTTTCTTAACTCACGCAATTAACCCTTAAATTCGAGCATTATGTTGACGTCTCTTTAATTTTTTTATTATTATTATGCTGTTTTAAATATTGCTGCGTTATAAATCATTGGTTTGATCCAACTTTATTAATTATTAAAGATCTATATCTATAATTATGCAAAAAAATACTTTTAAGATTTCAGTTAGACTTAAGTTGAATTTAAGAGCAAAGCGTTTTAATACGTAGTTATATTTTCTGATTAAATAGTCTTTATTCAATAACTTACAAGAAGGTTATATAAAGAAAAAAGTTATATATACTTCTTTTAGTTGCAAATACATGTGAAAAATGTTATCAGGCGTGTAATATTTTATTATTTTTATAAACTGAAATAGTGTCTTTATATCTGACAAGTCCCAATGCTAAGAGAGAATCTTGAAATCGCGACCTTATTTTATATGGGTTTTTTTTAAATTGAAATGGCTATTTTTTGAGGAGAAATAACAAAATAAATTCATAATAAAAAACACGTAAAATTCCGAAAATATATTTAAAAAATCAATTAAAAATAATATTTTCCTTAACAATTATTTGAAAATTCTTAAAATACCTTCATCTTCAACATTTTATTTGGTACTGAAAGTATTTCATTATTTTTAATTGAAGAGCTTTATTTCTTATAGGGTAAGTTAACTCAAGATATGGGAAGTAACTGTAGTCTCAAATTGAAAATATAGAATAATTATTAAATATTGATATGAATAAAGAAAAAATTTGAAGAGGGAACTAGAAAGTAATATCTAAAATACAATTCAATATTGTTTTACTAATACAAATTTTATATACACTTCAATACAAAATTTTACCTCTATTTTTATTTGACAACAATTTTAAATTTTAATATATCAATTACCTAAGTAAAAAAAATATTTAAAATGTTTTGGAACAGACAATCATATATTTTTATGACCGAATTTGAATATTTTTTTTTATTTTTGAATTAAATAGGGTTTGCGTTTAGTATTAAGATAGGGCATACATACACAGGCAAGACCATTTTATAAATAGATTAGTCTTGTTTACCGGCTAATGAAATATGAAAGAAGTACACATATAAATTTGGCAAGCACTAAATATAAAAAGTTTGAACTTGTTTTAAAATAAATATGTACAAAAAACTTGTTTAGAAGTAGGTACACCCATATTTCATTTTAAATAACTTAAAAACTGGTTGAAATTATTTGAAACAATTCTGTAAGCATCTTTTAAATAACTAAAATAAGATAATAACTCAAATTGTTTGTACCACAATATATTAGTACTTTCATTAACATTTTTGCTAGCCAACACTATTCAACTTACCTTATTGAGAAATACAAAATCACACATGAATCATATATGAAAAATCTAACATGTACTGAAATGAATAAAATTTTAATCAAAAAAGAAAAAATTTTTCTTAGCTAGCTATAATCAGGAAAATTTAAACTGTTGAATGTGTTCGGATCGTTGGAATATACATCCTTACATAAATGAAATGTAATAAACAGAACTACCGAAATATTTTTCAGTTTAAATCTTTGTGCGAAATAAAAGTAAAGCAATTTTTTTAAAACATTTACAAATTAAGAAATTTTATTTTTTAGTGCAAACAAAGTGTAAAATATTTAGAGCAAAATTTTTACATCACATTTAGATAAAATATATTAAAAGAATTATAAATCTGCAATTAACAATAATTAATAATGTAATTAGTTATGCAAAATAATTCTCATTTTTGAGCAATTTGAGTATTCTTATTCAGCAATTTGGTTTTAACCTCTTTAAATTCTTTCTTTGCGCCATGTGCAATTTTTTCTAATCAAAACTAAAATTATCAACTGCAACATTGATTTACGATGTTCTTATTAGTTGTTATTTATTATCTATACCATTGGATATTGGATATATCTTTTTTTCTCAATACATTCATTACATTGAGAATAGTCAAGAAGAAATTCTTAATAAATATTAATTTGTAATTCACATATTTTATAAAATAATTCAAAAGAGGCTATTAAATAATTTGAATGCTTTAGAAAGTAAAAGCGACTTATGTGGATCATTGAAGTAAAAGCGACTCGTGGATCGAAATTCAAAGAAAGTTTAAGTATTTTATTTGAACATGAATTGCAATGGCAACCTCTTTTTGTACATAATTTAAATATGCAATAGCCTGTTGTATTTGTGTTCAATTGATGTAGTTTTTCTTCAATCTTAGTGACATTTTCTGAATACCTAGTATTTATTTTGTCTAATTGATGTGAAAAATTGCTGATAGAGCTTACGAACTTGGTGATGTTCATACCAGGAAAATACGATAATTAGACTTGACTGACGGTAATAGCACCGTGCGAAGAAATCGTCATTGTTGGCTCCTTCAATTGGCAGTTGTAAAGTTGTTCCTCTTTTGTCCATAACGTTAAACGAGTTATCGGTGATTTACCTATTAATCCATATTAGTTGCCTATTCATTTTGAAATCATAAAACTTTCAGATTGAATTCTGTCTCTTGTTGAGGCTTGAGTAGTTGAACTTTACACTAAGCATCTTCGAATTTTTCGTTGGATAGAGGATGGAGCTTCCGGCAATAAAATTTGTTGACGTTAAAGGATAGGCAGTTTTTAAACTCAGTTTAAATAACTGAATAATATGAGTCAAATTAAGTTAAGTTAAGTATGAGTTAAATTAAGTATGATGTATTCTCATGATGGGTTGATAACCTTAAAGTTATCAACCACGTTATCCAAATTCTCATGAAAAGTTGGCATCGGGATAACGTGGAAAATTTAAAACAAATATATTTGTAGTAGGAGAATTTTGTAATTAAATATAAAGCGACATGATGTTATTCGCCCCTGCATTATCATTAATTTGTGTAGCTTCAGAAGTTGCTGTGTATTTTTGATTTCCGGAATGTAGCTATCAGGTTGAATATAACTTCTTATGATGGACAATTGTTTTCTTATAATCTGTGGAGATATTATAACGTGATGGTTCAACCCTTGTTATGCTGAGGTCATAGCGTCTAAGGTTGAGTTTTGTTTTTGTTCTAGTTCGTCAATCATTAGGATAACTGAAATAACGGTAGCTACTAGAGAGTGTTCAGATTCTGTAGCATTTTGAATACTAATACTTAATTCTTTAAATCGCTCACCAGAAGATAGAAATATAATTTTTTAGTAACTCTTGCGAAGTATGGGTGCTTAATTTTATATCATTAATTTTCTTTTCCAGTTCTTTAGCTGTATCTTGGTCTAGGATGCCAAATAGAATATTTGACAGTTTTCCAACAAAATCGAATGATAATCAACGTATTTGTCTTGATAGCGATCCATCACCAGCTTTATATTATTTAGTACCTTTATAAGTTGGTTAAGTACAGGGCACTGACTAGATTTAAATAAAGATGAGCAATTAGTTAAAAGAATGTCAGATATTTTTTGCAGATCTCTTAAATTTTGATAATAAAAAGTCAAGTCATAACTAACTAACGAACTAACGAAGTGGCGAACTGCCACTCTGCGTCAATGAAATGTAAATGGTGTAAGTGGACGGGAGTTTAGTATCGCCAATAGCTTTTGTGAGATGATATTTTACCGATTTTACTCCAGCTTCGCGTAGTCCACCAAAATAGAGAGTACTTGGAGGAATGAAATGACCCAATTGTGTGAATGAATAAAGTGACTCAATTTCTCGTTGGTTTTTAATTGGTAATATGTTCCTACAAAGTTTGTACCATTGCCAATGAGAAAATGCGCCATATTTCCTAGTTTTGCGTTAAATCGCTCTAATGCGGCAATAAAGGCTTCGCTGGACAGGTCTGATACGGCTTCAAGATGAACGCTTTGTGAAACACACAAATGTAATCTTGTAATCTTACTTCCCACTCTTAAGATACCACCTTTCGAAAATGGATGAAGCTCTAGTATCTTGCTGTTAGAGCGTAGTAACTTGCTTTTTAATAGGCAACCAATTTCTGTGCTATGACAGTTTGTTTTAGTTTGATTATGGAATACAGTGCAATTTCCATTTGAGTGGTTGTAAGTTCTCCAGTATTCTTACGTTTTGCATATTTTGCAATAGAAGACAGAAGACTATGGTTCTTTGTAGTTTTGATAATAATAAAAATATTTCAATGGAAAGAGTTTTGATTGGTGTTCTTGTTGACGTATGGGAACTAATTTTTAACTCCTCTGTTGATCGAAGTGCCTTGTCAATCACATTTGTTGTTTTTTTATGTATCCATTCTAGGCACAGTTTGTTTTCAATAATTTGTTTCGGCAATATTCCTTTTAATGGCAAGTCAGCGGATTGTTAAATAATTTTAACACAGTTGGCAACGAAGGTTTTCCGTTTGCTTCTGTACCAGGAAGGTACTACTTGGGGATCGATGCACATCGTGCTATGTCTGATATTTCTAATTCATCTGTGATTAATATTGATTTATAGCTGTCTTGGTGCAGTCGTAGTATACCTCGCCAGCATATGCTCTA